GGTGACTGGGGTAATCGGGATGGGTGTGTCAGAGGCAGTGTGGTTGGCGCAGGATAGAGCAGGGTTTAGGGCTGTTGTGCATAGGGTCGCTATGAGTCGAAAACGACTCGACGGCACATAACAACAAACAACAACAAGATTGTACTACCGTCTTTGACTACCTTATTATCTCTTAATCCTCTGAATAGAGAAAATAGGTATTATTCCCATTTTACAGATAAGAAAACCAAATTTCAGAAAAATCAGCAGACTGTCTGAAATCACAAAATCAGCAAATAGCAGAATTAGGATTTGAACTAAAGTATGAGGTCAATGAAATTAACTATCTATCATTTATTGCAATTTTCTGGGTTCATAAAATGTGTGTCCTCTAAAAAAAAAAATCACACACACTGAAGGATAAAGGCCATGCGGATATTCTGTTTTCCTTACAGCACCTAGCATAGAGCTAGGCATGCGATCTGTATATAAGGGTCGATCTCAATATTATTCTACCCTAGCCATTCTCTATATCATCACAGGAAAAAAGTTTTAGAAGCATTAGTTTTTTCAACATCTAGTAATGCTTTCCTGTAATAATGGGCAATTTTCTCTTGTAAAATTAACAGGCTCTGAAAACCCACTGGAGGGTTAGCGATGAGTTGATTTCAAATCAACTGCAATGAGGAAGGCATCACTTTCTACAACAAATTAAATCTCTATGACCTGACCTGTGTGTGTTAACTTTTTACTGAATTAAACCTCTATGACCTGATCTCTTTGTGTGTTACTTCTTACTGATGCATAATATAAATTTGGTAAATAAATGAAATGACTAATATTAAAATATGTTCACATATTCATACATCCATGTAGGGAGCTCTGGTGGCATGGTGGATAGGGAGTTGTACTGCCAATCTAAAGGATAGTAGTTTGAATGCACCAGGTGCTCCATAGGAGAAAGCTGAGCAATCCCTTCCTGTGTGATTTACAGCCTCTAAAAGGGTCAACTATAAGTCAT